AAAATATGACAATAAATTTAATGAATATAATTTTACTTTAATAGTAAAAATACTTATTTTCGTCCATAAAAACGAAAGGATTTCAAAATGTCGGAAACTGAATATCTTTTATCGTGGTGTTATTACGTTGCTTTCCCATTTTGAAAAATTGGGCGGTACCACCAACACATACCCCATCAAATCTGAACATATGAATAGATGATAATAAGAAATCAACGGTAATATAAATTTTAAAAAGCCTTAAAGCGCGGTAGTCGCCGCGCTGCGTATGTGCGACATTTGTGTTGATAAACATTGATTTTCCCACAATCCAATGCGTTCTTCAAATGGAATCACAGTTCGTACTCGTTGATCTGCGCAACAGTCAAAGTCGCCATCTTTGTTTATATGAGACCCATATATCTCGCACATGCACAGCGCGACGACTACCGCGCTTTAAATAAGCTAGATTTAAAAAAAAGGGAACACTGTGTTAGAGTTTGTTTTTGTCTTTGAAGCTGAGTCGAATTATATATGTGTTTGCTATGAGGGATAATAACCCTTCTGCCAGTAAAATAGACTGGAAAGTAAAAATAGGATATCCACTTTGAAATATCTTTCTTTCATTTCTTTTTTTTTTAGCTAAAACATCATTTGAGCACATTTCGTTTTTGTTTTAAGCTTGTTCTGGGAGTAATGATTTACATTTTTACAAAGTGGAAATGCAACTTCAACAATCAAGTATCCCTAACCTCTCCATTATATTTCAGATTCTGGGAAATGCTTGCCTACCTAGCCAATACGCTCATCTTTGTACTGGTCGGTGTCGTCATAGTTGAACGTGCATGGCACGACGTTGATCCAATCGACTGTTTCTATATAATTACGCTTTATATTGGAGTTAACATCATAAGGTAAGGACTAATTAGGGCTCAACCATTTGAAATCATGGGGGTAGCTGGAAGAGTGCATTTTTCCACGGCGTCTTATCATTTTTTTTTTTTTTTTGAAGGTATGCAATTTTTTTTTTCCTTGCGAATTTGTTTTTAAAAAGTAACAGCCACCCCTCCTAATTAAATGGTCCCGCTAAATTTTCGTCCGGGCGTGTCCACACGTTGTAACAGTATGCGTATGTGATTGCGATAGATACCTTCGTCCCACACATACAAAATCAAAAAAAAATATTTAAATTATATTTTGTTTTGTTTTGACAGGGCCATTGCTATCGCTCTGTTCAGTCCGATTTTGACACGCGTTGGTTACGGTTTATCCTGGCGTAACGCTTCCATCATGACATGGGGAGGACTCCGTGGCGCAGTAGGCTTGACTCTCGCTCTCATGGTTGTCTCTACCGAAGGTATTGACCAGGAGCGTGTCGGTAGCAAGGTACTGTTGCATACATCTGGTATCGTGGTTCTGACTTTAGTGATTAACTCAACAACCATTGGGTCACTCTTGAAGATTTTAGGTAAGTGTAGATCAGCACACCGACGAGGGCGCAGTAACTAACGCCGATCAAAATATCCTCGGCTTTCTGTTTATGTTTCCCTCCGAAGAATCATGGCGAATCTTTTTAATATTTTGCGGATTCTCGTTTCCCCCTACTCAGTCGTTTGGTTATCTAGTTGTGTTTTTCTTAATTTATATTACCATCACGCACACTGCATAATGCATTAACATTGAAATACAAGTCCATGAACAGTCCACACTTACACATCACTCATATACGCACCTATCGTGATAGTCGCGCCCTCTAGTGATGTAAGCAGGTGAACGTCGTTCTACATGACGTGTAACTAGACAACGAATCACAATTTTACCTAAACTCATCCAAATCACATTATTTCGCCAGAAGTCCCAACTTTGAGAAAAAGTGTACCGTATTCATTTATCACATTGTTTCAGGTCTCTCCACCTAAAGGGTGGTTGTAGGGAAGAAGTGCAGTCATATGTGTCATACATTACATTTTACATACATCTTATTTAAAGAGGGGGAGTCGTCACCTGCGCATGCATCAGATGGCCATAGCGTGTCATTGTTTACAAACAAGTGTCTACCCATGAGCCTTTGCTTTTTAGCGTGTTGTTATCGTCGCTTGGGACTCAATTCCCGCGCGTGCGCAGGTGACGACCCTCCCGCTTTAAACATAGCACTCTACTTAAAAGTTTAGAAAGTGAAACCCGTGCTTTGGTATCTTAATTTCCCATTGGCGTATGGAAAGGTGAAATATATGGTGTGATATTCCGCATGGGTCGACGGTCTCGTAGACCACGGAAAGCGTGCATATTCTAAACTACCGGGGGATCTAATGCTTTTATTATTTTAAACAATTCCCTGTCCTTCCTCTTTATTTTCTAATCACTACTCACTACACTAACATTGTAATGCGATACGAGCATACAATCTAGTGGGCATTTTAAAATAATGTTTTGTTCTATTAGTAATGTATGCACTGTGTATATGGTCAAATACATCGTATTTTAATAATCCAGAATGTGCACTTGCATTCAAGTTAGAGATGCACTTCTAAATCAAATACTGTAATATATACATAAATTACGTCCTTGAAATGGTCTTTATATAAAGGTTGAGTTACATTTAATAGATCGCCATCTCATACATTTAACATAATATTTGAATCTGGTAGTGAATCTGCAAAAATAATGCTAAAAAGGTGGTTATGTACGACAGGTGGTCTTTATCTATCTCTCAGTAGTCACTATAGGCAAGCGGTCTTTATATAGAGTGATGGCCGATAACGCACGTTTAACTGTACAACCCATTAACAATTCATTTAGTCACACACGTACAGACTCGGGTACAACTGTTTGATTGTTTTAATATTAGGGATGAGTAACATATCTGTCCCTAAAAGACAGGCCATGGCGAACGCTGTGCGTAAGGTTCAAGACACTCAAGAGTTAAGCATTGGTATGTTGAAAGCTGACAGATTCTTGGCGGATGCTGACTGGGATATGGCGGTACGAGCTTGTGCGATTGAAGACCCATACCACAGCGAAGACATGGATGTAAGTGTATAGATATACTCAAAGTAATTTTATCGGATCTTTTCCGAAAAATAAAGAGGAGCGATCACAACATGGGAGATTTATGTTTTGACAAATAATCCTTGTTGACATAAGAGTGCATGTCATTCACGTGTGAGAATCATGATGCTGCATGTTGTTTGAGTGCTTTTTGCAGTGTATTTTTTTGTTCATTTCTCATATACTGTACTTTTTTGCCCCCCCCCCCTCCCCTCCAGGTGGACGAAGTTCAGATTGACACAACTCGCGCGACCAGTACATGCCCTGAATGCAAGACCGAGGTCCAAAATGAACCAACGGCTAAGGAGTTTGCCGACATGGCAGAAGAAGCTCGACAAAGAATGATGAAAGCTCAAATGGTATGTATGCTTACTCAGAGCATGGAGGTAGAAAAAGAGAGGTAGTCACCTTCCTGCTCGGAGTCGCATGTGTTAAATTTGAAATCACATGGGTGCCTGGATAATTTACTTAAAAAAGAACATTGCAAGCCGAGAGAAAAACATTGCATGCAAAGTGTTGGCACAATCATGAAAAAAACAACACTCACACTCTTCCAGCCACCTTCATGATTACAATTGGTTGATCCCTTATTGCATTTCTCGTTTGTATTCGTTATAAACCGCAAAGATTTGCCCCATTGTCTGCAATACATTTTCAGTTTTACCATCATAGATTAGTGTAATTAGTACGCGACTGTATATGTATTAACAGATAAGTTACTGGAAACAATTTGAACATGGTACGCTGTCACGTGAGGCAGTACGCGTCTTAATTGGTGTCACGGAAACGATTGCTGACAACGATGGTGAGTTTGTTGATGTACAACATATCCAGAAGAACTGGGAAGTAAGAGGATTCTGGCCATTTATGGTAAGTCACCAGGTCATTGCGTCCACTATTAATCGGGAAATACGGTCATTAATTGGTTTAAAGAGCGGTGGTCATTATGCTGCGCATGATCAAATTTTGTGTAAACAAACAATGTATTTTACACGCGTTGCTATAAGTCCCATATCAAACTGGACGCTGCGCGACCCATCAACTCTAGACGTTGTTCAATGCTAAGAAAAAAAACACAGATGCAAGAGACTTGGTGAAGTGCAGGGGGGAATGAGTACCAAAGGCGGACATTGTGGTGCAGTTCCATCACAGGATGGAACTCGCCCGAGCGGTATACCTGCCGTACAGTTGTTCCACAAAAAGGGTCATGGCAGTGCGTACCATGGCGAGAGACGATTCAGGCTCAACTCAGGTCAATATACGTGTTAGAATGTAGCTGTGATCTAAATTGTATTGTACTTTAAGAACTCTGTATACAGGTGCAGTCTAGCGCCACCTACAGTTGGATATAATAAAAAGTCCCTGGATGTTCAAGTTCTACCTCCGGTTAATGGCGCGAACTTATAGTTGATTTTCCCCGACTATAATATCTTTGATTATTTCCCCTGTGGTATTCTGGGGTGGACCCGTAGCAAAAGCACGCACATATACAGTACAATGACAAGACACAAACACGACCAAGGCTTATAGAATACTGACAACATTTTATTGAATTACATTTCTTTTATAACAGCGCATGCCAGATGTACTGGCATACCAGGTGTACATTAATTAGCATATCAATAGTGTGTACAAATCACTACACCTCTCTTCACTTTTAAATAGTAAGCTCTACAACAAATTATGATTAACCAGTATTCAATTTTTTATATGCAATACATGAAACTATCTTTTACAAATTACAATTGTTAGTATACAATACTTGTCAATATATACTTTTTTTTAATTACTTTTATTTATT